ACCCACACATTGCCTGAAACCGCATTTACTCTCCAAACAGAGATAAAAACAAAGCCATCCTTTTTACACTATCCTTTTTACAACCAAAAATATTCTAACGTTATCCCCAGGAGAGCATCAGGGTCAGGGTCCCTTTTTTGCCTTTGGATAATGTTCATTCTTTTCCTAGCTGATTTACACTCCTGTTTTGACACCTTATAACTTAAAATACTTACATATAAAGTGATTATGAGTCACCTCAGATTCAATGATAGAGAGAGGAGATAAAACAATTTTGGTTAATATTTATTAAAATATATTCACATCAAAGTAAGGAAGAAATAACTATTACAGTCTTCATTCCAGAGCTGGTCACAAGGCCACTACTAGTATTTACAACTACTATCATCTACTATTCATTTCGTATTTCTTTTGCCCTCAGCAAGCACCTCAGTTGTTAGATTCTTGCCTGGTGGGATGATTCCAACCTTTTGTGAAGTCTGGGACATTAAACTGGGTTGTTGCTGTTTTCCATTTATCTTTTAGTTTTTAAATTGATGTTTAGTTGACTTACAATGTATTAATTTCTGCTGTATAGAAAGGTGATTCAGTTATATGTATATAGAGATTCAGTTATATATATATTCTTAATTTTTTTTCATTATTGTTTATCATAGGATACCAAATATGGTTCTCTGCGCTATACAGTAGGATCTTATTGTTTATCCCTTTTCCATTGGTCTTAATCAGAGGATATGGGAGTACTAAGAGGCACCCAAAGGGTCTCCTGCAGTATCATTTCTCACCCCCATTGGGTAGTAGCAACCCATTTTCCCCTTACTAGTCCAGTCAATCACCCCAGCCAGTACTTTGCCTGTGGATTCAGTGCCCAAAGATGCCAGATGGCAGCTTCAAGTTCCAATTTAATGCAGTCTTTGCTGCGTCTCCCAGTGAAAGCATTTTCCCCTTTGTAATGAAGATCTCTAGACCAGCAGATGCTAAAGCTGCAGAGATGGGAAGCAAACCTTTGACTGTTGGATCATTAACACACAGAAGACTGACTTTTGTATTTATCCCTTGATTCCTGAACTTCAGAGTCCAGGGTATGGGATTAACGAATGTTGATTTAGAGCATTCACCACGAACTGGTGGACACTGCCCCAGTCCTGCCTGGTGTCATCACCTACCGGGCAATATAGCTGAATCTTCAAAAAGCCATTCAATCAATCATCTGTCAAAGGGGTTGCTTCAAGATGATGGGGAATAAGGAAGGACCAGTGAATCCAAGAGCAAGAATCCACGACTGTATTTCATTTGCTGTGAATTCCACGATGGTAGAGGAGGCGTTCTAGAAACCCACAGATGGCAGTTTTGGCAGAAGCTTTGCGGGCAGTGAAACCTATGTCCAGAGCAAGTGGCAGTTCCAACAGAGCAGCTCGCTGCCTCTTCCATAACGAAAGTGGTTCAGGGTAATCAACCTAAGGCCAGGTGGCTGGCTGAGTCCTTGTAACAACGGAGCTACATTAGGTTCACTGCTGCCTCTGCTGCTGGCAGACTGGGCACTCAGCAGTAGTTGTAGCCAGGTCAGTCTTGATGGACACACGCTCTTGGTACTGAGACCATACATAGCCCCCATCACTGTGGCCAGGGCCACTTCATTCACGAGCTCACAGGAGTTGCTGGGGAAGGGGGGGTGCTGTCTGATGTCTACCAAATGGGTCATCCCAACCACTCGATTATTAATCCCTTCCTCTACTGTTAAAATCCTGCACTCAATATGCCAGCAAATTTGGAAAACTCAGCAGTGGCCACAGGACTGGAAAAGGTCAGTTTTCATTCCAATCCCTAAGAAAGGCAATCCCAAAGAATGCTCAAACTACTACCACACAATTGCACTCATCTCGCATGCTAGTAAAGTAATCCTCAAAATTCTCCAAGCCAGGCTTCAGCAATACATGAACCGAGAACTTCCAGATGTTCAAGCTGGTTTTAGAAAAGGCAGAGGAACCAGAGATCAAATTGCCAATATCCACTGGATCATCAAAAAAGCAAGAGAGTTCCAGAAAAACATCTATTTCTGCTCTATTGACTATGCCAAAGCCTTCAACTGTGTGGATCACAATAAACTGTGGAAAATTCTGAAAGAGATGGGAATACCAGACCACCTGACCTGCCTCTTGAGAAACCTGTATGCAGGTCAGGAAGCAACAGTTAGAACTAGACATGGAACAACAGACTGGTTCCAAATAGGAAAAGGAGTACGTCAAGGCTGTATATTGTCACCCTGCTTATTTAACTTATATGCAGAGTACATCATGAGAAACGTTGGGCTGGAAGAAGCACAAGTTGGAATCAAGATTGCCGGGAGAAATATCAATAACCTCAGATATGCAGATGACACCACCCTTATGGCAGAGAGTGAAGAGGAACTAAAAAGCCCCTTGATGAAAGTGAAAGAGGAGAGTGAAAAAGTTGGCTTAAAGCTTAACATTCAGAAAACTAAGATCATTGCATCTGGTCCCATCAACTCATGGGAAAGACATGATGGGGAGACAGTGGAAACAGTGTCAGACTTTATTTTTTTGGGCTCCAAAATCACTGCAGATGGTGATTGCAGCCATGAAATTACAAGACGAATACTCCTTGGAAGGAAAGTCATGACCAACCTAGATAGCATATTAAAAAGCAGAGACATTACTTTGCCAACAAAGGTCCATTTGGTCAAGGCTATGGTTTTTCCAGTGGTCATGTATGGATGTGAGAGTTGGACTGTGAAGAAAGCTGAGTGCCAAAAAATTGATGCTTTTGAACTGTGGTGTTGGAGAAGACTCTTGAGAGAACCTTGGACTGCAAGGAGATCCAACCAGTCCATCCTAAAGGAGATCAGTCCTGAGTGTTCATTGGAAGGACTGATGCTGAAGCTGAAACTCCAGTACTTTGGCCACCTCATGTGAAGAGTTGACTCATTGGAAAAGACCCTGGGAGGGATTGGGGGCAGGAGGAGAAGGGAAAGACAGAGGATGAGATGGCTGGATGGCATCACTGACTTGATGGGCATGAGTTTGAGTAAACTCCAGGAGCTGGTGATGGACAGGGGGACCTGGCGTGCTGCGGTTCATGGGGTCGCAGAGTCGGACATGACTGAGCGACTGAACTGAACTGAACTGAACTACTCTGTGATGAGCATTCCATGGGACTGAAATATCTTCCTGCTCTGCTGTTCAGAGGGCTCTAGCCTCAGACCTCATCTTCAGACCTTTCCATTTTCCCATTGTGCTCCTTCCAGCCCCACTCTCCAACCAAACCATGATTTGGTGCAGACCCTTTCTTCCAGCCACTTCTCCTTGCAGGCAAAATGAACCAACAGGTGAGCTGCCCCAAGTTCTGCCCACCAGAAGGACTCCCCTTCACCACCATCTGGGCTGTCCCGGAGAGGAGCTTCAGAGCCAAAGCTGCTCACTTTCAGGTGATGCATGGCTATCACGCAGAACCATCTGAAAACCAATCTGAGACTCTTCTTCCTGAGTCCACTCGCAGAAAATCCCCATGAAGGCATGGGCACAGCTTGAGAGAGGATATAGCAGGAACAGAGAGGCCTTAGGCAAGTCTGGGAATTGATTATAGGATATCAAGGCAAGAGACTAACCTCCTCAGGCAGCAATAGATGGGCTTCCAGTGGCAAAAAAGCTTTGAGGTCTCAGCTTCATTGGAATCTGCCACAAATATGACATATTCTAATGCTCAAACTTGCGTTCCTTTCCCCAACATATCCTAATTTCTAACAAACAGGACTCTGTGTGGTTGGGAATTCAACTTGTCCACTCCAATGTCTCAAGGGCTCATAAGGCTCAGTAACTAGTTCTACTCATAGCTCAATTTTTTCCCAGCAAAAGATACCCAGCAGAAGCAACAGGAGACTGCCATTCATTGGTGGAGTCTAGGGGGACCCAGTACAAGACTCTCAGTTCTTCCCGGTCCACACAAGAGTAAAGCAGTCCTCTTTCCCCAAGAGCAAACCAGCTCACGGGGGAAAGTGTGGAGCACTGCCCAAGGAAGCCTGTCTTAGCCTCAGGTCAGAAGGGGCTGGTCACGCAAGCGTAACCTGTTATGACTCTTTCCCCATACTCTGCAGGATAAGACTCTGGGTTGGGTTTTCAAAACCTCAGCCCCACAACTATCAGGAGTGGTATTTGTTTCAAGGCTCTCATTGAAGCTATTAGGTCCCTTTGCAGATCATAAGCCATGAATTACACTTAAAAGTCCCGAACTCATCATTTAAAACAATGTTACAACTCTTTGACTTAAGGAGTATACTTTTAGGGAATTTTTGTAATAAAATGATAAGGATGTGTGTAAAAAGGTAACTATCAGGAGAAATCACCAGAGCACCGTTTATAAAAGCAACAAACTATAAACTGCGTTTGGAAAACAACTGAGTATTGAGTAGATAAATCATGGTACACCTATGCTCAGCACACATTAAAATGTTATAGGAGAACAATTTATTGACATAAAAGGTGTTTAGGACATACTGATGTGTGAACAACGTAGACCGTGACATAACATAGCAATGATTGTGTTTTTGTAAAAAATACATATGTATACATAGCAAAAAAAGGTTTGTAGGAAGAACATTTAAGTGGTAACAATGCTTTTCCATGGGAAGGGAGCATATAGATATTTATTTGGTTCTTTGTTTGCATTTCCAGTTTTCTCTATAAGTCACATAGTTTGCTTTTATAATAATAAAACGTTAAGCTATTTCAACTCTTCATTTTGATTAAAACAAATCCATTTTTAAAAAAACGTCTTCACAAGCAGAAATGATTTGCAAGTTGCTACCGAGGCAATGATTCCGTTCTCTGCCAAAGCTGACGGGAACTTTCACAATCACAGCCCAAGTCAGATTCTCCCCGAGTCAGACTCGAGGGGAGAAGGGTGGTTCCAACAGCACCAAAGCGCTCATAGGGGCTCCCGTGCCCTGACGCCAAGCGGTTCACCTCCAACCAGCCCAGGCCATCCTATTCCTGCTGAGTCACCAGCCTCATCATTTTCAGAGCCGTGTCCCCTTGGTCGGAAGGAACCTGGAAGCAAGTAGGATCTGCGTCAGTGTTCCCGGTTCCCTGCCTGGGGCTGGGGGTCAGGGCTGGCTTCCTGAGACCCTGCTCCCGGGAAGGGGACCAGCTTTGTGACAACAGCTTCGGAGGTCAGCTGCACCTGGGTGCCATCTTCAAGAGAGCATCCCTTCTGTGAAACGAGCCCGTGCTGGACAAAACTTTCCCAAGCTCCCATGCTGCTGGCATGCAGGGGTCCAGAGGAGTCAACATTTAGAAAGGAAACGTGCCTCCTTTTCCACACTGAATTTCCAGAGCCACTGCTGCTCACATGCATCCTCTGCCTTGCACCCTGCACTGCGCTCAGCCTTACAGATGACTGGGCTCTAATATCACTCCCTCAAAACGTCAGGGAGGAATTTCCTGGTGGTCCAGTGGTTAAAAATCCTCCTGCCAAAGCAGGGGACATGGGTTCAATTCCTGGTTTGGGAAGATTCCACATGCTGCAGGGCAATTCAGCCCTTGTCACCCAGGCTACTGAGCTGGTGCTCTGGAGCCCGTGGCCTGCAAGGACTGAAGCCTGTGTGCCTGGAGCTCCTGCTCTGCCTGAGAGAGTCCACTGGTTTCTCTTGTGATCCCCAACTAGAGAAAAACCTAGTGCAGTCAAAAAATCAGCTAAACACACAAAACGGTACAGCGGTTTAAAAAAAAAGGCAAAAAACATTAGGGAAAGACAATTCCTCCCTCCCTCTCCTATTCGGGACAAACTGTCCAGAGGAAAGCAACATTCAACTCATTTAACCTGAAGAGCAGAGGGTAAAGACCCCAGGATTCAATCTCTCAGCAGATTGACTATTCCAGTGAAGCACTAACAGAGCTTCAATAGAGACCCCGACATACCACCAAGCCCCATGCATCTATGAGCCCAGAGCATGTGGCTCCCTCCACCCCCAGAGCCATGAATCCAGAACAGATGCTGACTCTCACCATGTGTCCAGCTCTGAGAATCCAGTAGAAAGCCAGGTTCTTGTGGGACTTGACAAAGGCAGACGTTTCTGAAGATTTGGGGTCACTGTGCAGGGGCTTCCACTTCAGCTGGTTGAATTTGGGCAATTCTTCCCATTTCAGTCTTCGTATCCAGGTCTCCTGACCTGGCGAGAGGGACAACGCATGGCCCAGCATGAAGAGCTGAGAAGAGCGGAAAGTGAAGTCTGGGTCCTATAACTAGGCATAAAATTTGACAGCTGGGAGGCAGACAAAATGCACTTGGGATCCTTCTAAAATGCAAATTCCAATGCAGCACATCCAGGCGGGACCTGAGACTCTGCATTGGACTATAAAGAAAGCTGAGCACCAAAGAATTGATACTTTTGAATTGTGGTGTTGGAGAGCCCCTTGGACTGCAAGGAGATCCAATCAGTCCATCCTAAAGGAAATCAGTCCTGAATATTCATTGGAAGGACTGATGCTGAAGCTGAAACTCCAACACTTTGGCCACCTGATTCAAAGAACTGACTCATTGAAAAAGACCCTGATGCTGGGAAAGATTGAAGGCAGGAGGAGAAGGGGACAACAGAGGATGAGATGGTTGGATAGCATCACTGACTCAATGGACAGGAGTTTGAGCAAGCTCTGGGAGTTGGTGATGGACAGGGAAGCCTGGCATGCTGCCATCCATGGGGTCGCAAGGAGTCAGACACGCCTGAGCAACTGAAGACCTCAAAAGATGAACAGGCTGGACTTCTCTGAGGGGGGTCACAACCTCGGGTAGCCCTGCCCTCTTCAAAAGAGCCAAGGTCAGAGGTGGAGGCAGGTAACGGAAAATGGCCTTCCTCTTGCCACGTCAATATCGCTGCCCCTTCCTGCCAAGGGGCCAGCTCCATCCATAACACTGCCTCCTCGCTCCCCCCGGACCAGTTCCTACCCATGGTGTCCACGATGAGGTCGAGCTGTCCATTATACACAGTCACATTGACCCCGGCTTCCAGCAGCTCGTCCACAATGCTGATGACCGGCTTCATGAAGTCCCCCTCCATGTTCAGGAAGACGCTGGTAGCCTGGCCTGTACAAGGGGAAGGAGAAAGAGAGAGCAGCTTGGAACCTGCCTGAACAAGAGGTGCTCTTCAGTCCAGAGCCTCCAGCACCCCAAGAGTGACCGCCACGCACCACGTGATGAAGACTGAACACACAGCTGCTTCCCGAGCAGAACCCGCTGGCCCAGAAATCCACGCCCCAAGCTGGCCGTGCAGAGGGCAAGCACTAACAGCACACACGCTCTGTTCACGCAGGTGCTTGTGACGAAAGCAGACGCCATTTGTCACGAGGGATGGAAGCTGAGAGAAGGCCAATGCCCAAGGAAACAGGACTGATCTCCTTTAGGATGGACTGGCTGGATCTCCTTGCAGTCCAAGGGACTCTCAAGAGTCTTCTCCAATCACCACTGCTCTGGGGTTAGCATTAGTTTTCCTCCTTTTCTGAGTAATACCAAGGCTAAGGTTTCTGATTTTTGTTTTCCCCCAGGGCCAGGTGTTAAGCTCTGAACAAGTAGGGCTACCTGAAACCATCAACAAACCGGCCCTGAACATAGTTGGAGCTTGTCCCTGGTACAGCCGCATGGATGACCAGTCCCGGGCAAGAGGGGAGGCGGTCTACACAGCATTCTTGTTGGATCCTTGACCACGGTGAAAAACAAGGGCGACAGCCACCACTTAATTTTATCTGCCAGTCACTGGGCTAAGTACGTCCTTTGTCAGCAACATCCCATGGCCTTCTACCTTTATCAACTCCGTGCAAGGAACGTGAGGCTCAGAGAGGCTGAGAAACACGCCCTGGGCCCGTGGCAAGCTGGGACAGGAACACACACCTGGCAGACTACCAAGTGGGCTCAGGACACGGAGGGTGCCCAGAAGGGAAAGTCTCCTTTCCAGACCCTACACAGGCACACCCAGAGCCAGGGTGAGTTTGCTCTTAGCAGTTTTCACCTGCAAAAGTCCCCGTAACGAGAGAAGCTGGGGCCAGACGACACAGCAATGAGGGTAAAAGGAGGGGGCTGAGCTGCCAAGGTGTGTTCCCGCGAGCCTGGCCTGCACCTGGCCTCCCAGGGTACTCACATCTGCTCCTTCTCAGCGCCACGGCCCCCCACGGCTGTCTGCACCCCTCACGGCTCTGAAACCACGTTCTTTTACTTGAGCAAACTTTCCCTTCATTTCTAGAAAACTTCAGGTCTAGGATGAGTGCTCTGCTGACCGAGGGTTGGGGGGCTGGCCAAGCCCCAGTCTCTCTGCAGCTGTCAAGGTTCCACCCCACGAAGCATAGCTTTGGGGGCTCTTGGACACGAACAAAACCCTCCTCAGCTTGGCGGGTTCTCCCTCCAGGAGCATGGGAATCCCGCTTGCTCATGGCTTCCCCATAAGATTGAGCAGGAACTTAACGCTAGATTATTTCTCCCTGACCCTGGTCCCTGAGGACCCCAATACTTCCCCACTACGACCTTCAGCCCAGAAGGCAACAGATGCCAGATATTATCATTCACATCAGGACACCTGCAGAGGCCGGCCTGCTCAAACCCTGTCCAAAAATGACTTTTTTTTTTTTTTTTACTTCAACACACTCACAACCAACGGTGGCCTTGGGCATGGCTTTTTAAAATCTCAAGTTTTTATTATGGAAAAGTTCACACTGACATAAAAGTAACGAGGAGAGGGTGATGATGATTCTCATGGACCCACTCCTGGCTTCAACATTGATCAACTTATAACCAATCGCTTCACTTCTTTCCCCACCCACTTCCCTTACCAATCCTTCATTCTGACCAGTTTTGGCATGCCACTCACTGTCTCTGTATGTCTGCTCATCCATCAAACGTGAACGGTAATAATGTTCTACCTGCAATTAAACATGTCATCACCACCACTAACATCCATTCTACAAATTAAGGCTTTGAATTGTCACCTCTCTCACCCCCAGCTCTACAAACAGCACTTCATTAAGTCACACAAGTTACCTCCCCAGGTGCAATCTTCAGGAATAATTTTGAGCTTCTTCCTGATGGGACCATTCATGAGCTGACTTAAGGCATCCTGTTGTAGGTGTCTCACGTGGCGTTGGAAAAGAGGAACTAAAACAAACTGGTACACGGTGAGTCAAAGGACTGGAAACAAGACCAAGAGGCCCTCTTTTCTATGCTGCCAGGGATGCTGAGAGGGAGGCTTGCACCTGGAAGATGAAAAGTGGTCCCCTGATTCCCCCCAGATTGGGGGAAAGTCAGGAATCTGTTCCAAGTGGAGAGGCTTTATTGGCTTTGACTGGTGCATTTTATGTCCTTTGGGGCCAGTAAGGTTCTGCAGCACGGCCTAAGGAAATCAGCTGAGTGGAACCTAGAGGTCTCCGGCAGCTTCTTATAAAGGGGGCATATCAGGCATTCAGCACCCGCAGTGAAGACAACTCAATCCAGCCTTTAGGAGGCTTAACATTGTAATTCAATGTGTAGAAGCTGGTTTCCAAATTTCAGAAACACTGTGTTAAGTGCAAGACTACCTCGTGCATGATTCCATCTATGTGAAATGTCCTGAAAAGGCAAATCTAGAGAGACAGAAAGCAGGTTAGTGGTTGCCTGAGGCTGGAAGTGGGAAAAGAAATTGACTGCAGACAGACATGTGGGATCTTTCTGGGGTGACGGAAATGTTCTAAAACAGGATTGTGGTGATGAAATGTTCTAAATACACTAAAACCCACTGAATTATACAACATGGGTGAATGTTATGGTATGTAAATTATATATCAATAAAACTTTTCAGAAAACTGGTAGAGGCAGGAAGGTTGAGATATGGTCTCACAACATCAAGGTCTACTCACCGAGGTGTTTCTGGGAGAATTCTAGACTCGACGCCACCGCAGACATAGGAGAGCTCTTAGTTAGGATGTTATAGAAGTTCACCCCATCTGTGTTCTGAAATACACAAGAAATGAACTGGGTTATTTGTTTTCTTTGTTTATCCATTACCAGAGTTGCAAAACAGTAAGGCACCTGGCTCCCCATCTCGTCCAAGGACAGATTGAATTTTATACATTTGCTCAGACCAGAAAGAAATAAGCTCTGGAGGCCCAGGGACCAGCAGTGCCAGCCCAGTCTCCTGGGGGTAGCTCATCCAAGGGCGGCTCCAATGCCACAGCAGAAAACCAAGAGCCTGTGTGTTAATTTCCAGGAAGAACTGAGCTGCAGAGGGTCCTATACACTCAAGTCCTCAACCTGTGGATTCTTCCCTCCTGGCTCACTGCAGCCAGGATGCTGGCTGGCAGAGGCCCAAACACTCACCTTGGCGGGACACATTCTTTCTTACAGGATCCATACCTTCAGCTGAGGAACAGGCAAGTCTTGCAGGCTAGGTGGCTTCCTGACCTTGTCACTGCTCAGGCTGGTCAGATGTATCGTTTAGCTTGACATCATCTCCAGACTTGTGGGCAGTCTCTGGATAGACCCCAGCCCTGACAACACCAACCAAGGTCCCTTCACCCCCAGGGAAAAGCCAAGTAGGCTGGCCCACACGTGACCCCTCTTACCTGTTCAATGACCATTTCTGCTTTCCCCCAGAGCTCGGTGGCCTTTTGGTAGAGTTCCTTGCTCAGGGCATCCAGGACTTCCTCTGCAGCCTCAGACACCTCTGCCAGACCTTGGTCATCGAGAAGAGACTGGAATGCAAACAAGAGCACTCTGACTTTGCAAGAGACAGAACTCTGGCACCGCTGTGGGTAGGGATGGGCAACAGAAAGAGTGGGTGGCGGGAGCAAGGGGCATGTCCATAGAATAGCACAGCCTAACAAGCGCTGTGTTTACTGATGAAGGCAACACCGGAAAATGGCAACCAAGTCTAGGCGATGGGTATATGGGTGCTCACCACGATTGTTCAACTCTTCTGAGTTCTGGAAATGTCTATAATAAAAATCTGGGGAGATTTTAAAATGTGCATGTCTAGTACCTGGAGCAATGGCATAACTGTGTTGATGTTTCTTTAAATTTGTCCCCAAGGTTGGCTGTTGCTTATGGTTTTCAATTTGATTTGGATTATTAGATAGGTGCCTGAGGGGCTGTGTCAACCGCACAGAAAAACCCAACTAGCTTGGTTCCTTCTGCAGACAGAGCCAGAGAAAGTCAGCTGGGCTGTTAGGGTGAGAGTTGGAGGCTCATCTACTTACCATACTGTATAGGTAAGGTCCCCAGGAGAGCACTGAATCTAAAGGAAACCATGTAAGGACAAAGTGAGTTTTCTGTGATTGTCCTCCCCTCAAAATACCTAACTAGCTTTCCTCCCAAAGCAGAAAGAGACAGAAGCAAGAATCACAGTGGCTTTGGGTCTGAAGGCTCCTTAACCCACCAGGGCTCATGTCTTGGTGGCTGGGAGATGGGGTGAGAGTGTGGGACCCTTTCTGTTGAGTCAGGGCTAAAGGCCACACTAATTTGGCCTGATACCGGCCCAGTCAGTGACTCAGTGCCAGGGACGGGTCCACAGACAGGCCATGAGTGTGTAGTGGAGGCGCTTACCTGCACGCTTCTAGACTGTGATGGTTTAAGGTATTTCCCCGCCCTCTGCTCCGCTCTGCTCTGCCCCTGCCCGCTCCTCCAGTTTGAGGACACAAGCTTCCGCCAAGGAGCTAATTAAGGACGAATACTAATGATTTCATTAAGTTTCTGGGGCTACACTGCCAATCAATTCATTTCAATTCCAAAAATACACTGAGACTTTAAAGGCGTGAGAACTGGCATAAAGCCAATAATGAGTTTTATGAGACAAATGTGAATAAGACAATACCTAACTTCACAGAGAACAGTTGGGCTTGGTTTAGACAAGTTCACGGTTATCATAACTAAGTAAGGCTAGTCCACTGATAGAAGTGCCAAGAAGGTAGCAAGCATTTTTTTTTTGCTTATGTGGTTTTCTTTTGTTTTCTGTAATTTTTCTTAAATTGAAGTACAGTTGACGTATATCAATGGAGAAGGAAATGGCAACCCACTCCAGTACTCTTGCCTGGAGAATTCCATGGACAGAGGAGCCTGGTGGGCTACAGTCCATGGGGTTGCAAAAAGTTGGACACGACTGAGTGACTAACACACACTTTGACTTATATCAAGGACCATAACTTATAGAGCACATTTGAATACATGGTGCTCATGTCCACTAACTCAGTCATATCTGACTCTTTGTGACCCCATGGACTGCAGGCCACCAGGCTCTTTTGTACATGGAATTTTCCAGGCAAGAATACTGGAGTGGGTTGCCACTTCCTACTCCAATCATTAGGGTAGAGTAACAAAATAGCTTCTCCAAAAGGAGAAAAGAGTAAATGAAAACACAGCCCTTATTTATTCAATGTCTCTCTTTTATATCCCTGATAGCCATCATACTAGAGATTTTGAGCAACAGGAACATTTTAACTTACAAGAGGGCATTAAGACAACACAATGGCTAACACACCACTCCTTTGTTACAAAGCCTTCAACAGCTCCCCCCAAAGTCCAAGCATCTCAAAGTCTGTTTCAAATAACCTCACTTATGCAGGATGTTACCCTAGGTATTAACACAGAAATATGATTTGTTGGCTAAATACCTTTGAGGTTATGCAAAAGACAACACACTTTTTTTTTTTTTAAACTGCAGGTCTTATCAGAGCCTTTAATGTGCCCGTGAACCTTGAGGAGGTGGGGCCAGTATTTGGCACTTCCAAAACTTATCTGGCCATGGAGTCCTTTGCATGGCACTTCACTGGGCTGGTCATTCTTCAGGACACACCCTAAGAAATGCAGACGCATCAGGTCCTTCAGAAACTAGCTGTCATTCTCCTCTCCAGCTAAACCATCAAGCCTGGGCCTCAGTTTCTTATAAAGAATCAACTGCAGCCCTCCGAGGAATCCCAATTTCTGTTTTATCTAGACCAGGGATTGGCAAACCTTTTCTGTAAAGGGACAAACAGTAAATATGTTTGGCTTTGCAGGTCAGATGGTCTCTGCTGCAACAACTCAACTCTGCTATTGCAGGCTCCAAACAGATGACCTGCATTCCACAAATGAATGGGCATGACAGTGTCCCAGCAAAAAGCTTATTTACTAAAGCAGGGTGGCAGGACAGACTTGACTTGGAGGCCGTAGTTTGATCCTGGATGTGTACCTCTGATGTCCAAAAGAACTTTTTGCAGTGATGGAAACGTTCTGCATCTATGTGGTCCACAAGTCCACAACCACCTGCGGCCATTGGATACCTTCAAATGTGAGCAGTGCAGATGCAAGACTGCGATTTTTATTGTATTTTAATTAATATAAAGAGTCATATGTGGCTCAGTTCAGTTCAGTCGCTCAGTCGTGTCTGACTCTTTGCAACCCCATGGACTGCAGCACACCAGGCCTCACTGTCCATCACCAACTCCTGGAGCTTGCTCAAACTCATGTCCACTGAGTCGGTGATGCCATCCAACCATCTCATCCTCTGTCGCCCCTTCTAATCCTGCCTTCAGTCTTTTCCAGGATCAGGGTCTTTTCCAATGAGTCAGTTCTTCACATCAGTTGGCCAAAGTATTGGAGATTCAGCTTCAGCATCAGTCCTTCCAATAAATATTCAGGACTGATTTCATTTAGGACTGACTGGTTGGATCTCCTTGCAGTCCGAGGGATTCTCAAGAGTATTCTCCAACACCACAGTTCAAAAGCATCAATTCTTTGGCGCTCAGCTTTCTTTATGGTACAACTCTCACATCCATACATGACTACTGGAAAAACCATAGCCTTGACTAGAAGTACCTTTGTTGGCAAAGTAATGTCTCTGCTTTTTAATAAGCTGTCTAGGTTGATCATAGCTTTTCTTCCAAGCAGCATGCATCTTTTAATATCATGGCTGCAGTCACTATCTGCAGTGATTTTGGAGGCCAAAAAAATAAAGTCTGTCACTGTTTCCATTGTTTCCCCATCTATTTGCCATGAAGTGATGGGACCAGATGCCATGATCTTAATTTTCTGAATGTTGAGTTTTAAGCCAGTTTTTTCACTCTCCTCTTTCATTTTCATCAAGAGGCTCGTTAGTTCTTTTTCACTTTCTTCCATAAGGGTGGTGTCATCTGCCTATCTGAGGTCACTGATATTTCTCCCGGCAATCTTGATTTTTGTGCTATATCCAGCCCAGCATTTTGCATGATGTACTCGGCATATAAGTTAAATAAGCAGGGTTACAATATACAGCCTGGATATAGTCCTTTCTCAATTTGGAAGAAGTCTGTTGTTCCATATCAAGTTCTAACTGTTGCTTCTTGACCTGCATATGGATTTCTCAGGAGGCAGATAAGATGGTCTGGTATTCCCATCTCTGGAAGAATTTTCCAGTTTGTTGTGATCCACAGAGTCAAAGGCTTTGGCATAGTCAATAAAGCAGAAGTAGATGTTATTCTGGAATTTTCTTGCTTTTTCGATGATTCAATGGATACTGGCAATTTGATCTCTAGTTCCTCTGCCTTTTCTAAATCCAGCCTGAAGATCTGGAATTTTATGGTTCATGTACTGCTGAGGTCTGGCTTGGAGAATTTTGAGCATTACTTTGCTAGCGTGTGAGATGAGTGCAACTGTGCAGTAGTTTGAACATTCTTTGGCATTGCCTTTCTTTGGGATTGGAATGGAAACGGACCTTTTCCAGTCCTGTGGCCACTGCTGAGTTTTCCAAATATGTTGGCATATTGAGTGCAGCACTTTCACAGCATCATCTTTCAGGATTTGAAATAGCTCAACTGGAATTCTATCACCTCCACTAGCTTTGTTCATAGTGATGCTTCCTAAGGCCCACTTGACTTCACATTGCAGGATATCTGGCTCTAGGTGAGCGATCACACCATCATCATTACTGGGACATGAAGATCTTTTTTGTACAGTTCTTCTGTGTATTCTTGCCACCTCTTCTTAATATCTTCTGGTTCTGTTAGGTCCATACCATTTCTGTCCTTTATCATGCCCATCTTTGCATGAAATGTTCTCTTGGTAGCTCTAGTTTTCTTGAAGAGATCTCTAGTCTTTCCCATTCTATTGTTTTCCTCTATTTCTTTGCACGGATCACTGAGGAAGGCTTTCTTATCTTTCCTCGCTATTCTTTGGAACTCTGCATTCAAATGGGTATATCTTTCCTTTTCTCCTTTGCCTTTCACTTCTCTTCTTTTCTCAGCTCTTTGTAAGGCCTCCTCGGACAACAATTCTGCCTTTTTGCATTTCTTTTTCTTGGCGATGGTCTTGATCACTGCCTCCTGTACAGTGTCACAAACCTCTGTCCATAGTTCTTCAGGTACTCTATCAGAGCTAATCCCTTGAATCTATTTGTCACTTCTACTGTATTGTTATAAGGGATTTGATTTAGGTCATACCTGAATGGTCCAGGGATTTTGCCTACTTTCTTCAATTTAAGTCTGAATTTTGCAATAAGGAGTTCATGATCTGAGCCCCAGTCAGTTCCTGGTCTTGCTTTTGCTGACTGTATAGAGTTTCTCCATCTCTGGCTGCAAAGAATATAATCAATCTGATTTCGGTATTGTGGCTACGGTTACCATATTGAATGGTGCAGATCTTCTTGAAGGCATGAAGCAGGTCTGTGTATCTTTCCTAACACTGAGCACAACACCTGCTCCCTAGCAAGCAATTAATAATTGCACATGAAAGTGAACAGTAATTCTCCCCCAAAAGGGAGTACTTCTGGGGTGGAAGAGCGATGCACAAAGTGAACCTGGAAGGAGGGATTCAGGGCTGGGCAGAGAGACTCATAATGTCAGGTGGGTCATGCAAGCTGAATTCGGGAGATTTTGGACCAGATGAAGAGCCTGTGCAAAGCCGGAGGCTGACCTACTGGTCTCAAGGAGGAACGCACGGGGACGGCTAAGTGCCTGCTGCCTTCATGTGCATCCTGGGTTTAGCTGTGTGACTTCAGGAAAATGGCTTAACCTGAGTCTCACTTTCATCACCTCCAATCCTGGGATAATAATCCCATTCGTCCCATGGAGATGCCGTTAAGCTTCAGCAAAGTTAACATATATAAAGTGTTTAGTATTGTTAATGCAGCTGTGATGAGACCCTTGAAGGACGTGGGAGGCCAGTTCTGTCACTCTGAGAGAGACACTTGGCAGGAAACCAGTTGACCCCTCAGGTCTCGGGTCAAGGCTTCTGCAACGTCACGGTGTCCTCAGAGGTTCATCCGAGAAGGACACACACAGGGCAGTCCTTTTCACAAGGTGGACTGAGGACGTCCCTGGTAGTCCACAGGCTGCCAGTGCAGGGGGCCCAGGCTCCATCCCTGGTCAGGGAACTAAGACCTTGCACATCGTTCAGCTCAGCCCCACCAACACACCTTTCCCCACCCCTCCACCCCTGCCCCCTGCCAAAAAACAAATCTGAAAATGTCCTACTTACCGATGGGAGAGATCCAAGAGTCACCCAGAGCGACCCCACCAAAGTTGCACCGGATGGTCCCTTGCTGAATGGCCTGAAAGAGAAGCCAAGAAACATCCTTGTCAAGACGACCCAGGGACCTCCCTCCCTTCCTCAACAGGAGGGAGTCACACTTTGATACACAGCCTTTCCTGAGCACAGAAGGCTTCTGCCCACCTGGGATGTTCCGGGTACCCAAAGACCTCAGACATCCGCTAGAGAGCAAGGGTAACTGTCCTGCCGCCCACCATCTGCAAGATGAACAGGAACTGTGAAGTTCTCCCAAGGGTGTTGGCAGGGTTTGTGTGGGGTCTGGTGCAGCCCCCGTCTTCTTTAGAAGGGACACAGGGAATATACAGAGTATAACCTTTACAGATTATAAATCATTATATTGTACATGAGATTCTTCCCTGTAGCTCAAACAGTAAAGAATCTGCCTGCAATGCAGGAGACCCAGCTTTGATCCCTGGGTTGGGAAGATCTTATGGAGAAGGGAACGGCAACCCACTTCAGTATTCCTGCCTGGAGAATCCCATGGACAGAGGAGGCTGGGGGGCTACAGTCTGTGGGATCACGAAGAGTCAGACACGACTGAACAACTAACACTACCACTACTATATTGTACATGGGGAATATATAATATTGAATATCAATTATAGTTCAATGTAAAAAAAAAAAGGTCATACAAATTCACTGTAAAATATTTACTCAGAGAAGGAGAAAGGAGAAAAATATGAAAAAATCTTTACCTTTGCCCTACCTACACCCTCACACCCATGAGTTAACCACAGTTAACATGGTATATATTATTCTAACTTCTTTCTTTGGTTTCATAAGCATATATATATATTCGTATGTGTATATATACACAGATCTATCCATTCTTTCTGATGGCTGCAAACTGTCCATCATGGAAGGATCCACGTATTTCACTTAAGTAATCTTCTATAGATAATAATGCTCAAAATTATCCAAGCCAGGCTTCAACAGTAGGTGAACCATGAACTTCCAGATGTTCAAGATGGATTTAGAAAAGGCAGAGGAACCAGAGATCAAATTGCCAACATCCGCTGGATCATCAAAAAAGCAAGAGAGTTGCAGGAAAACATCTACTACTTTTATTGACTATGCCAAAGCCTTTGACTGTGTGGATCACAGTCAAAGAATTTTAAATTCTTAAAGAGATGGGAATAACAGACCACTTTACCTGCCTCCTGAGAAATCTGTATGCAGGTCAAGAAGCAACAGTTAGAACTGGACATAGAACAGAGACTGGTTCCAAATCAGGAAAGGAGTATGTCAGGTCTGTATATTGTCACCCTGCTTATTTAACTTATATGCAGAGTATATCATGAGAAATTCTGGACTGGATGAAGCCCAAGCTAGAATCAAGATTGCCAGGAGAAATATCAATAATCTCAGATACGCAGATGACACCACCCTTATGGCAGAAAGCGAAGAAGAACTAAAGAGCCTCTTGCTGAAAGTGAAAGAGGAGAGTGAAAAACCTGGCTTAAAACTCAACATTCAGAAAACTGAGATCATGGCATCTGGTCCCATCACTTCATGGCAGATAGATGGGGAAACAGTGGAAACAGTGGCTGACTTTATTTCTGGGGGCTCCAAAATCACTGCAGATGGTGACTGCAGCCATGAAATTAAAAGACACTTGCTCCTTAGAAGAAAAGTTATGACCAACCTAGACAGCATATTAAAAAGCAGAGACATCATTTTGCCATCAAAGGTCCTTATAGTCAAAGCTTTGGTTTTTCCAGTAGTCATGTATGGATGTGAGAGTTGGACCATAAAGAAAGCTGAGCAAGGAAGAATTGATGTTTTTGAACTCTGGTGTTGGAGAAGACTCTTGAGAGTAGCTTGGACAGCAAGGAGATCCAACCAGTCAATCCTAAAGGAAATCAGTCCTGAATATTCATTGGAAGGACTGATGCTGAAGCTGAAACTCCAATACTTTGGCCACCTGATGTGAAGAACAGACTCATTGGAAAAGACCCTGATGCTGGGAAAGATTGAAGGCAGGAGGAGAAGGGGACGACAGAGGATGAGATGGTTGGATGGCATCACCAACTCAATGGACATGAGTTTGGGCAAGGTCTGAGAGTTGGTGATGGACAGGGAAGCCTGGTGTGCTGCAGTCCATGGGGTCGCAAAGAGTCAGACATGACTGAGTGACTGAACTGAACTGAATAGATAGTCACTGAGCTTGTTTTCCTTTTATGGACATTGTAAACGATGATGAGCTAAACATCTTCTAACACACATGCATATATAAGCATTCCCACAGGACAGACTCTTAGAACTGAAATTATAGGGGCAAAAGGCACATAGATTTTAAAAGCAGACAGATACAGCCAAACTGCCCTTTTAAAAATGATTTACCAATTTTCCTCCCTAGCAAACATGCATGAGAGCACTTATTTCCCTGCTGTTCAGTCGCCTAGTCATGTCCAGCTCTTTGCAATCCCATGAACTGAGGCACGCCAGGCCTCCCTGTCCCTCCTTATCTTCTGAAGTTTGCCCAAGGTCCTGTCCACTGTTTTGGTGATGCCATTCAGTCATCTCATCGTCTGATACCCTCCTCTCCTTCTGCCCTCAATCTTGCCCAGCATCACAGACTTTTCCAATGAGTCAGCTGTTTGCATCAGATACCAAAATACTGGAGTTCCAGCTTCAGCATCAGTCCTTCCAATGAGTAATCAGGGTTGATTTCCCTTAAGATTGGCTGCTTTGATCTCCTTGCTGTCCAAGGGACTCTCAGGAGTCTTCTCACAGTTCAAAAGCATCAGTTCTTTGGCAATCCACCTTCTTTTCGGTCCAGCTCTCACAACCATACATGACCACTGGGAAGATCATTGCCTTGACTATTTGGACCTTTGTTGGCAGAGTAACGTCTCTGCTCTTCAACACACTGTCTAGATTTGTCATTGGTTTCCTGCCAAGAAACAAACGTCTTACTAAAACTGGGGGTTACCAATTTTCTAAAATATTTGCAAATCCCACAGCTTTGATTTACTAATAAAAGCTGAACACCGTTCACATGTCCACAGGCTGTTTGCACTTCTTCAATAAATTATTTCCCCATTTTTTGGCCAATTTTATATGATGATATTATCCTTTTTAAAGTGGATTTATTGATATGAAGACTTTGTTATATATTTGTGAGTCTGTATACATATCTTTTAAAATTATTTATAGAACTCTAAGAAGTTTTAAATTTCTACAAGATCTAAATTATGTCAAAATTATCCTTTTTGGCTTTTCATCTTATGAAAGAAAGCTTTTCCTATCCAAGATTATAAATCTTTTCTAGTATATTTTCAAGTACTCTTATAGTTCTGATTTTCACATTCAAATTTTTAATCTATCAAGAACTGATGTTTTGGACTTCTGTCGTGGTCCAGTGGTTAAGACTCCATCTGCCAATGCAGGGGACATGGGTTCGATCCCTGGCCTGGGAAGATTCTGCATGCCTCGGGGCAACTAAGCCCACAAACCACAACTGCTCAGCCTTGCAGCTCATGAGCTGCAACTACTGAAGCCCACACACCCTCAACCCGTGCTCCACAACAGGAGAAGCCAACACAATGAGAAGCCTGTGCATTGCCATGAAGAGTTGTGACTGCTCACCGCAACTAGAGAAAGCCCGTGTGCAGCAACAAAGACCCAGCGCAGTCAAAAAAAAAACTGATGTTTTATGCAAGGCAAGAATCTAACTTTAAAACAAACAAACAAACAAACAAAAAAAAAAGAATCTAACTTTACTATCTTCCAAAGTAATAGCCATTTGTCTCCAGACCATTTGCTGAGCATTCTGTCTTTCCCACAGCAATTTGAAATACCATCCTATCATTTATATATGATCATATGTAAGTATGATATATATGCATCATATACATACAGTCACATGCATAAACATACATATATATAAGTACAGATAAAATATGCCTCTAGACTCTTTAGCCTGCTGCATTTATCTGCGTTTGTTGCTATAACAGCACCAAATTGCTTTACTCAGCTGAATAGTTTGTTTAATATCGGACAGTGCCAACTTCACTATTCTTTTGGAAATTTTTTACGGTTATTACTACAGACTTACTCTTAGTTTCTATGTACAAGGTCCTAGTCAAAGTATATTTAATTATCAGGTGAGTACAACAAGTAACATAATCAGTTTCTGTCTGGAACCAAACAACAAAGTCATCTCCCCTGTTACCTTATAAAGTTCTAGAGCAATGCCAGCAGCCATCTTTCCTCCATAGGACTCTGAGAAAATGTAGAATGGAATCGTCTGGGAAGAAAAGGAATTTACAAGGAATTAAATATCCTGAATGCCTTTTTTTTTTTTTTCTGAATGCCTTTTAGTTCACATGAATCCATTTCAAGTTTCTATTGCATGTAATGACCAGGCAAAACAAAAACAAATCTGCTTCTATTGATCTTTCATCCCATATCTGATTTTTATGTTTCAGTAGAATACTGGGTGCAGGGTCACTCTTTTAAGCTAAAACCATCTTTAGAAACGACAGAAACAGAAGCCCACAACCTGATCCCTGGATACAAAAAGGTTTTCTCTGGAATGAGCCGGGCATGTAACTCTTGCAGGTATTGCACCTGATGGATTCAGTGCTGTGACCATGAGCCCCTCGCTGAGCTGTTTCTGAGGCCCTGCTTACCTGGAATTCTTTGTGGTAATCAAAGAAGGTCTTCAGGAGAACCATCATGTCTGATGCCACGGTGGCCAGGTCTTTGGCGTATGCATCACTCTTGTTCACATAACTGAATCCAGTGCCCACGGGGTTATCCACAAACAGGAGGCTGGCCGACTGGAGCTACACGCCACCCCAGGAAAGTCAAAGGTTGCAATCAGCCAGCCAGTCCCCAACTATCTTTGGATCATCTTTTATGAGCTCAACAAAAGCCACACATGTGACAATATCAGTGTGATTATGGTCTGTTATTAAAACGGGTTTAAAAAAAAAACTGGACTAGGGACAGAGACTAGCACAGCAAAGGAAAGGAAAGCCAAGAAGGGAAGAGTCACATATACATGGGGATCGAAGCATCTAGGCTGTCACTTTCACACAATACAAACGTTCTGGACGTAATACGTTAGCGCAGGGAGAACCATGCAGTGTCAGTCTGAGCAACAGCTCGAAGCAGTAGGAGGTCTGGACCACACATATATTTTCTTCAAGATGAATCCAGTTTCCACATTGGCTGGCTTTGCTGAACACTACAAAGACAGAATTTATTCTACAACCTTTCCCACAAAAGTTGAGAATTTTATATCCTGAAGGACCCCTAGTAATAACACAATCCAGCCATGTCCTTTACTGACTAGGAAATTAAAGGCCAGAAAAGGCCCAGGACTTGTCCAGGGTCACAAAGTTGGATAGGTAATGGCCGCATCAGGACCAAGACCAGCATCTCCTCACTTCCTATTCAAGCTCTCTGCCCCCGTTACGTGACTGTTTGTCACGGGAGGCTTGGGGACAAGCCAGAGGGGGCACTCTGCTATTGCAAGTGGAAGTGATATTTCTCCTGGAAGCATGTACAAGAATGTTCCGGCTGAGAGAACAGCCTGTGCAAAGACCCTGCGTCAAAAGTAAAACCCACTGGTCTTCAAGTGGAGACATACAAGAAAATGAAAGGACTATGAGGGGAGCTTTGGGAGGAGGTGTTCCTGCAGTGAGTCTCAGAGGTGAACATGGTGAGCTGGGTGTGAGTGGATAGCCCAAGCAATGAAGTTGAAGCCCAGGAATCGCCCTTGCAAAGGCCTGAAGGAAGAGAGCACTGAAGAGGAGCTGTGAGGTGTGCCTGGGGGCAGCAGGAGCCAATTTCTGTGTCGGAAACTGGATCTGATCTTCCGGGAACCTGCAAGACGGTAAACTAAGGAGGGACTGCCATTGGAGTGTTTCACTCATGTGGCATGTGGATTATGGGGTGGGGCTGGGGGAACCCTTTGAAAGCATCCCTGAAAGGCAGTGAAAGAGGGGTGGAGGAAAAATATTAACAACCTTGGGTATTAAACACAGAGCTACAAAAGGACCCAGAAATTCCCCCCAAAACTGAAACTAGGGACCCAACCAGTATTTGTATGCTAATGTTGCCTGCATTACTCATCACAGCCAAAAGGTGGAAATAACCTAAGGGTCCCTCAGCAGATGGAGGAGGAGCAGAGAGCGGAGGGTGGCCACGAGCCTAGAGCAATACCCCCACCCTGCCGAGCCCCTCAGCATCTGGCAGCCTGGGGGCAGGAGTCGAGCATGGGGAGAGCGGGACAGACCGCAGACTGGAGGGAGAGGAACAAGGGAGCCGGGGCTGGGGGCTGGTCAGAGAGGGGCTAGTGAGGAGGTGAAGCTAAGGATGAAGGCACAGGGCAGAGTCAGAGAACCAGAGAGGCATCAAAAGGGCAGAAGACAAGGGGTCTGAAATCTGGAGGAAGACAAGCATTGAGACAGGAGGGGAGGAGAAGAAAGAAAGGACTGGAGGTCGTGGCCAGAGGGTGGGGATCTGGGGTCTGAGACTGTAGGAAGGTCTAGCACCTGGGTAATGCCAAGGTCCAGGTGTCTGCTACAGCAGACGGAGGTTTCTGCAGGGAAGTGGAGAGAAAGGTCGCTGAGTTGGGAAGGTGACTGGTATAGGACAAGCTGCCTTCAGAAATGGAAGTGGCTGGTGGAGAGGAGGCCTGTGGACAAGCGCCCAAGGTTCCCCTGTACACAGAGGAAGAGGGCGGGGGCAGGGTGGGGCCCCTCAACCTGGGGATGGGGTGGGATCGGGTGGGGCTCAGTCTGGGAGAGGCCACGTGGCACTGACAGTTCGGGGCCTTCCTCACTGTACCCAAGTGGTCCTTCGTGGTTGGAGATCACTGTCAAGGGGCCCGATTTCCTCAAAGTTTCCAAAGCCAGTGCTGGAAGCACCTGGACCACCCTGTGGAAGAAAGAAAGAACCAAAAATAAACTCAGAGAAAATGTCTGTCAAACCTTCATCATGACAGCAATGACCACATTCACGGTAAATGATTTATGATTCAGCGATGGCTGGGTCCGCCTCACACACAGGACACAGCTGGTCCAGGGAGCCAGGGATGTTGAAAGCTCAGCTCCTCTGAGCAGCGGTGCTGAATCACATCTCAGAGACAGCTGCGAGTGAAGAAGAACAGGGCAGCTTTATTACTTTGCCAGGTAATGGGGGACACAGCAGGCTAATGCCCTCAAAACCAAGCGTCCCAACTTGGGGAAGACGGTGACAATTTTATATTAGTAGAAACTGTTCAAAGAGGGTGTGATCAGCTCACGGACATTCTTCTCATGGGTTGGTGGTGAGGTAAGGAGTCAACCTCAGCAACCTTCAGATCCACCTGGTCTGGGGTCTACATGCTGGTGGGGGCGGCACATTATCATTAATCATTAACTTCTCCTACCTGGGGGGGTTTCAACATAAGCAAAATAGCTCAAAGACACTGTGGTACGTAATCTTTGATGACGCCTTCACGGATCACAGCCTTGTCATGGCAAAGGGGTCTGTGTAACTTAATGAAGCTATGAGCCATGCCAGGCAGGGCCACCCAAGACAGGTGGTTCATAGTGAAGAGTTCTGATGAAATGCGGTCCACGGGAGGAGGAAATGGCAAACCAGTTCAGTATTCTTGCTGAGAAATCCATGAATAGTGTGAAAAGGCAAAAATATATGACACTGGAAGATGATCCCCCCAGGTCAGAAGGTGTCCAATATGCTACTGGGGAAAAGTGGAAAGCAATTACTAATAGCTCCAGAAAGAATGAAGAGACTGGGCCAAAGTGGAAATGATGCTCAGCTGTGGATGTGCCCGCTGGTGAAAATAAAGTCTGATGCTGTAAAGAATATTGTATATGAACCTGGAATGTTAGGTCCATGAATCAAGGCAAATTACAAGTGGTCAAATATGAGATGGCAAGAGTGAACATGGACATCTTAGGAATCAGTGAACTAAAATGGATGGGAATGGGTGAATTTGATTCAGACTGTGGGCAAGAATCCCTTAGAAGGAATGAAGCAGCTTTCACAGTCAACAGAAGAGTCCAAAATGGGGTAATTAGATGCAATGTCAAAAAGCAGAATGATTTCAGTTCATTTCCAAGGCAAACCATTCAAAGTCATGGTAATTCAAGTCTATGCCCCAACTACTGGTGCCAAAGAAGCTGAAGTTGACTGGTTCTACAAAGATCTACAAGACCTTCTAGAAATAACACCAAACAAGGATGTCCTTTTCATCTTAGGGGACAGGAATGCAAAAGCAGGAAGTCGAGAGATATCTGGAGTAATGGGCAAGTTTGGCCTTGGAGTAAAAATGAAGCAGGGCAAAGGTGAGTAGAATTTTGCCAAGAGAACACACTGGTTACAGCAAACATTTTTATCTAACAACATGAGACTTAACTCTACACATGGACATCACCAAAAAAGGTTAAAACCTAAATCAGACAGATTATATTCTTTATAGCCAAAGATGGAGAAGCTCCATATAGTCAGCAAAAACAAGACTGAGAGCTGACTGTGTCTCACATCATGAGCTCCTTATTGTAAAATTCAGACTTAAATTGAAGAAAGCAGGCAAAACCACTAGGCCACTCAGGTATGATCTAGATCAGATCCATTACGATTATATAGTGAACGCGATGAATAGATTCAAGGGATTGTATCTGGAAGAGAGAATGCCTGAAAAACTATGGATGGAGGTTCATAACGTTGTACAGGAGGCAGTGACCAAAACCATCCCCAAGAAGAATAAATGTAACAAGGCAAAACAGTTGTCTGAGGAGGCCTTACAAATAGCGGAGAAAAGAAGAGAGGTGAAAGGCAAAGGAGAAAAGGAAAGATATACCCATCTGAATGCAGCATTCCAAAGAAGAGCAAGGAGACAGAAGAAAGCCTTCCTCAGCGATCAATGCAAAGAAGTAGAGGAAAACAGCAGAATAAGAAAGACTGGAGATCTCTTTCAGAAAACTGGAGGTATCAAGGGAACATTTCATGCAAGGTTTGGGCACAATAAAGGACAGAAACAGTAAGGACCTAACAGAAGCAAAAGAGATTAAGAAGAGAGGTCAAGAATACATAGAAGAACAATGCAAAAAAGGTCTTAATGACTCAGACAACCATGATGGTATGGTCACTAACCTAGAGCCAGACCTCCTGGAGTGTGAAGTCAAGTGGGCCTTAGGAAGCATTACTACGAACAAGGCTAGTGGAGGTGATGGAATTTCAGCCGAGCTATTTGAAATCCTAAAAGATGATGCTGTTAAAGCATTGCATGCAATACACCAACAAATTTGGAAAACTCAGCAGTGGCCAGAGGGTTGGAAAAGGTCAATTTTCACTCCAATCCCAAAGAAGGGCAATGCCAAAGAATGTTCAAACTACTACACAGTTGCACTCATTTCACATGCTACCAAGGTTATGCTCAAAATCCTTCAAGCTGGGCTTTAGCAGTACATGAATCAAGAACTTCCACATGTACAAGTTGGATTTAGAAAAGATAGAGGAACCAGAGATCAATTGCCAACATTCACTGGATCACAGAGAAAGCAAGGAGTTCTAGAAAAACATCTACTTCTACCTCATTGACTATGTTAAAGCTTTTGACTCTGGGGCTCACAACCAACTGTTGAAAATTCTTAAAGAGATGGGAATACCAGACCATATTATCTGTATGCAGGTCAAGAAGCAACAGTTAGAACGGGACATGGAACAACTGACTTGTTCAAAATTAGGAAAGGAGTATGACAAGGCTGTATACACACCCTATTCATTTAACTTCTATGCAGAGCACATTATGCAAAACGCCAGGGTGAATGAATCACAAACTGGAATTAAGATTGCTGGAAGAAATATCAACAACCTCAGAAATGCAGATGATACCACTTTAATGGCAGAAAGTGAAGAGGAGCTGAAGAGCCTCTTGATGAGGGTGAAAGAAGAGAGTGAAAAAGCAGGCTTAAAACTCAGTATTCAAAAATCTAAGATCATGGCATCTGGTCCCATCACTTCATGGCAAATAGAAGAGGAAAAGATGGAAGCAGTGGCAGATTTTATTTTCCTGCATTCCTAAATCACTGCAGATGGTGACTGCAGCTATGAAATTAAAAGATGCTTACGCCTTGGAAGGAAAACTATGACAAACCTAGACAGCGTATTAAAAAGCAGAGACATCACTTCGCCAACCAAGGTCTGTAGACTCAAAGCTATGGTTTTTCTTGTAGTCATGCATAGTGTAAGAGCAGGACCATAAAGAAGGCTGAGCACTGAAGAATCACTGCTTTCAAACTGTGGTCTGGAGAAGACTCTTGAGAGTCCCTTGGACGGCAATGAGTCAAACCAGTCAATCCTAAAAGAAATCAATCTTGAATATTCATTGGAAGGACTGATGCTGAGCTGAAGCTCCAATACTCTGGCCACTTGAAGTGAAGATGCATTTCATTGGAAAAGACCCTGATGCTGGGAAAGGTTGAAGGCAAATGGAGAAGGGGTTAGCAGAGGATGAGATGGTTAGATAGCATGACTGACTCAATGGACATGAATTTGAATAAATTCCGGGAGATAGTGAGGGATGGAGGAGCCTAGTGTGCTGCAGTCCGTGGGGTCGCAAAGAGTGGGACAGGACTTGGTGACTGAAATGTAACAACATCCTTTGATGATGAAACAGGATGTTACCCCAAGGCTGCTCTTGATGGTTTGTTTCTCCCTGGTCTCGGACCCACTCCCTTTCCTATCAATTGCTTGAATCTGCCCACTGGAAGGCTATGGAGGCTGAATGAAAGCAGTCTCCTATAATCAAAGAAACGAGGAACACAGGAAGGCCCCGACGGGGCCCTGCACAGGGTCATCAGGGATGTGTGGACTCACTGAGCCCCTAGTAACTGCTGAAGTCTTGCTAATAGAAGTGCCCGGGTCAAGCGTTCCCAGAGGGTACTTTCCTCTTTGATTCTCTGAGCTTGAGTCATGGCCTGAGGTGGGGCTCGCTGACTTCAAGGCATCTCATCCAAACCCTCTCCCTTTGAAGATGAGTAGGGCCCGTGGAGGGGACGTGTAATTAGGGCTGCCACCAGGACTGGCCCCGGGGCCTTGTGACTCTCCATCACCCGCCCCCCAGGGGCCCTAAGGATTTACAAGGAACCCACACCAAGTTTGATCAAGATGATCCCCAGGATACAATGCAGCAAACACAGAAGTCCCAGGGCAGGAAGCACTCAGTCCCCTGGGTGGCTGACATGAGGCAGGATTCAGGGCAGAAGCTCAGTGCTGGAGCCTCAGAATACAAGAGACAGAGGTTCTAAGGTCTAAGAGAAGGGAGGAGGTCCTCCAGGAGATGGTGAGGGGAAAAGGATGGTCAGTGCTTTTCTGGATAAAACCTCAGAGGCTGGGAGGACCAACAGGATAAGCCTGAAGTAAAAGGATACTGTCTCCCTGTGCAAGATGGATAGGAAAGGGAGATATGCAAAGATGGAAGGAAACAGTTCGGCAAAACAGAAGCCAGGCCAATCTATAGAGGGAAATCTGAAGGAGAAAAAGGACAACATAGAGTCTGGGCTCAGGGGTATGTAAAGTACCCCGACAGGGAAAGACTTTATGAAACTATCTAATGTGCTGAAACTATGCCAAGCTAACTATTACAAAACTGAGAGGCTATAAATCTCTCTAATTATATGCACTCTATATCTTAAGATTTCCTAATGCAGCAGTAAAAAGCTCACAAGTCAGAGGGAGCTGTTCATTAAAGTCATTCATATCTAGAACAGCAAAAGGATGCAACTCCAATGTCCCCCAGCAGGGCAAGGGGTTAGTAAGCCACAATCACCTAAACCTTGGAACGTGACACGAGGGTCACAAACTATGAGAAACTATGCGATAACGTTGAAAAATGCATGCAACACACAATGAACTGAGAGCAAAGGTCCTCACCACTGACAGAACGAAAAGACCTACTGAATGGGAGAAAATATGTGTGAATGACATAACCAAAAAGGGGTTAATACCCAACATATATAAACAGCTCATGCAACTCAATATCAAAAACAAAACAACATTGATTTAAAAGTGGGCAGAAGAACATTACGGACATTTTTCCAAAGAGGAAATGCAGATGGCCAGCAGGCACATGAAAAGATGCTCAGCTAATTATTGCTAATAATCATGGAAATGCAAATCAAAACCACCATGAGATATCACTTCATGCCTGCCAGAATGGCAATCATCAAAAAGAACAAAAATACAAATGTGGAGAAGAGGGAATCCTTGTATTCTGTTGGTGGCAATGTAAATGGGTTCAGCTACTGTGGAAAAGAGTATGGAGGTTTCTCAAGAACACTAAAGCTAAAGCTACCACATGATCCAGCAATTCCACCCCTAGGTATATATCTAAAAACAACAAAGACACTAATCCAAAAAAATACATGCATCCCAATGTTCATAGCATCCTTATTTATAATAGGCAAGATATGGGAGCAATGTAAGTGTCCATCAACAGATGAATGGATGGAGAAGATGTGGTCCATGTATACAATGGAATACTGCTGCTGCTGCTGCTGCTAAGTCACTTCAGTCGTGTCCGACTCTGTGGGACCCACCAGGCTCCTCCGTCCCTGGGATTCTCCAGGCAAGAACACTGGAGTGGGTTGCCATTTCCTTCTCCAATGGAATACTATTCAGCCACAAAAAAGAACAAAAATTTGCCATTTGTTGCAACATGAATGGGCTTGGAGGGTATTATGCTAAGTGAAATCAGTTAGAAAGAGAAAGACAAATACTGCATGATGTCACTTATATGTGGAATCTAAACAATACAAAACAATACAAAACAATACAAAAAACAATACAAAAAACATTTGTTTTGAGTGTAACAAAAAGAACCAGACTCACAGCTATAGATGACAAACCAGTGGTTACCAGTGGAGAAAGGGGAGAGGAGAGGGGCAATGTAGGGGAAGGGAATTAAGAGGTACAAACTACTACGTATGAAATAAATAAGTTACAAGGATATATTGTGGAACACAGGGAACATAACCAATATTTTCTAGAGCCATAAATCGAGCATAATCTTTAAAAATTGTGAATTACGGTATTGTATACCTGTAACTTATATAATATTGTACACCAACTATACTTCAATTTACACACACACACAAAAGAGTAAGGGTCCTTTGAGTGAAAGCTGGGCCCCTTTTTCCTAGTGGACTTGCTAGGCTGGGATTGAACCAAAGTGAAAGGGAGGCAGGCTGGAATCTTAGGGGTGTGGTCTTTGCGGGAGAAATCCCATTTTCCTGTTTTCTTTTACTTGAGATTGTACTACCGCAAAATCATTTCTGCCTAGGACTTTGCGATGGGGCACTTTCATGGTCCAGGGCTACGCAGTGACTCTGGCAAACGTGTCACAGGACAAACTGCAACACTTTAAATGAGTTGAAAGTGTACTTTAAGTAGCACACTACTTCACTCAGAAGACACGACCTCAGTTCTCAAAGACCCGCCCAGAGAAGCTAGTGTCCATGTTCCCAGCAGGCTGCTCAAACAGACTGTCTTTGAACCTGCATTAATTGTCTCTTTCTCACGCCTACTCTTTTCCGCTTCCCTCAGGTTTCTGGGGGATGAAGAGCCAGTTCATTAGCCAGTTGAAGACCATCAAATAGCATCTCAGCTCACAGTAATGAAAGGTCACAAACCGGATGGTTTCCAGAGGCCAGAGGTGCACCTCGGGGAGCAGACAGGTCAGGTGTGGCCCCACATCAGGAGCTCCTGCTCATCCGTAAGGGGGGCCCCCGCCACTCAGCTTTGGGATGGCAAGTTCAGCCCCCGAGTCATTACATTTTTGGAAAAAAGAAGGAAATGTCTTGATTTTTAAATGAGTGGGTGGGCTTGGCACTCCTCCCCGCCCCCGCCCCCACCTCCACCCAGCACCACTTTTTTCTGCTTTGGCTGGTCTGTAAGCTTTCACTTGGACGTGGAAACAGTTCTGCCGATTAATAAAACGTTTGACAACCACTGAAATCCCCCAGATTAGAAAACCAAAGCCCAGAGAAGGGAAGTGCCTCTCCGCAGCTATGCGGGGCAGGAAGGCAGACCCGCATGCGCCCAGCACACAGCCTGCCCTGACGGCCCTGCCTTGTCTCCATCTCCCACCTCCGGGAGGCACAGAAGTCCCCTGGGCCACAGACGCCTTCTTCTTCGGAGGCCTTTTCCTACCGCACCCGCGGCTGAGCTCTCGAAGAGGATACTTGCCATAATCCTGAGAGAGAAAGGCCCCTCCCTGCAAACTGCTCATCTTCAGTATCGCATCAACAAGTGTGCATCCCAGAGGGTTAATAAACACATGAAGAGATGCTCAGCGTCTTCTCATCAGAGAAATGCAAAAGCAAAACTACAATGAGAGATCACCTCACACCAGACAGAACGGCCCTCAACCAAAAATCCACAAACCACAGAGCTGGAGAGGGTGTGGAGAAAAGGGAACCGTCCTGCACTCCTGGGGGGAACGCAAGCTGATACAGCCACTATGGAAGGCAGTAAGGAGACTTCTTAAAAAACCATGTGACCCAGCAAGACCATTTCTAGGCATATACCCCAAGGAAACCAAAACTGAAAAAGACACAAGTACCCCAGTGTTCATGGCAGCACTATTTACAACAGCCAAGTCCTGGAAGCAACCTGGATGTCCATCGACAGATGGATAAAGCAGCTGTGGTACATATACACAACGTAACACTGCTACTGCTAAGTCACTTCAGTCATGTCCGACTCTGTGCAACCCCATCCCTGGGATTCTCCAGGCAAGAACACTGGAGTGGGTTGCCATTTCCTTCTCCAATGCATAAAAGTGAAAAGTGAAAGTGAAGTCGCTCAGTCATGTCTGACTCTTCGCGACACTACTCAGCCATAAAAAGGAACACATGTGAGTCAGGTCCAATGAGGTGGATGAACCTAGAGCCTGTTATACAGAGTGAAGTCGGACAGAAAGAGAAAGATGAATATCATATATTAATATGATCATTAATATTATATAATATTATATAAATGATATTATTAATATCATATATATGGAATCTAGAAGGATGGTACTGACGAATCTGTTTGCGGAGCAGCAGTGGAGCTGCAGACATAGAGAACAGACTTATGGACAAGGGTGGGGGGAAGAGGGAGAGGGTGAGATGAATGCAGAGAGTAGCGTGGATGCATACACGCTAACACATGTAAACAGATGGCCAATGGGAATTTGCTGAACGACTCACAGAACTCAAACGGGGGCTCTGTAACAACCTAGAGAGGTGGGAATGGGTGGGAGGGGGGAGGGAGTCACGAGAGAGGGGACACACGTACACAGATGGTTAATTCATATTGGCTATGACAGAAATCAAACCTTTACAATACGGTAAAGCAATCATCAATCAATTAAAAAAAAATGTCTGTATCCATTGGCAAAGCTGGGAGAACTGGGAAGCTGCTTAGGAATAATAACATTTGGAGATGAAGTGACATTTACATCTCATGGGGATGAGGACCAGGGCACCCTACATACTGGTAAGCAACCTGGCATCCCAGCTGGGATGGGCCTGTAGTTTCCAGAAGGTGAAGCAAGACTGCGTTCCTCAACCCCTCCCTAGATCGTGGATTCCACGTGGGCGTGGGCCAACTTTTGAGAGACATTTTAGGAATGGAAGGAAGGATCCTCTGCCTGCCCCTCAAAGACCTTTCAACCAGTTTCTAGTCTTCAATCCTACCACCAGAGCTCAAGATTAAAATGCAAATACACTTTAGGGAGAAGGAGAGGGTCCAACACTCAACACTGATACAAAAGGCTGAGTTCTTTCAAAATATCAATTTTTCTAGGGGCGCAGAATTCAGGTCAAGGAAAGGACTGGGAGGGCAGGAAGATGAAAGACTGGTCAGGATAGCTCAGTTTTACTTTGGAACCTTCCAGAAACACTTTGTATCAGCATATTGTCAAACGTGACTTCAGGAACATCCAGTAAGGGTTCCTGCCCATGTCTGGTTTGGGCTTAGTACAAAAGGACCCCAGCAAAAGGCCAGAACCTCTCACTCTCTGATTTGGCTTCCTTGGCAGTTTAACACTGCCTTTGTCTGCTTCAGAAGGATGCTGAATCCTTTTGAGGATGCTGGGTCCAGGAGACCCCTACCTTGCTGCCGGACCACATCAGTTCTTCACTGCCGAGCTGTGAGCCTTTAAAGGTGAGCAAGGTGGTAAGTGGGGGAACCTGGCCTCAACCTCAGGTCAGGCAGTAAAACCACTTTTACCTGAAGCCACATGACCAGGGGCAGTTCTGAGAAGTTCTTGTAGGGGCTGGTGGCATAATAGAGCCACCAGAACATGTGGGCATTGTTCCGGACAGTCACATAACCCCAGACTTCCTTGCTCTCTTCCGTGGGCCAGCTGATGACAGCTCCTGAAACACAAGCACCATCATTTTCCTGAAGAATGTCCATGTCCAGGTAAATCCCAAGCCTAGGAGTGATGGCTGGGCTAGGCTGCAGGTGATTTGGTTTATGTTTATGCATTTACTTCAATACATTGTGGAGATAAAGAAAAACAATTCAACTTAGATTGAATAAATTCTAACTTATGAAAAAACAAACCCAACTTAACAGAGGCCCAGGGGGCTGAAAGCTTTCACCTTTTCCTCTACACCCTCTGTAATGTTTGGATTTTTAACAGGAAAGCATGAAACTTGCTTATAACTGTTTAAAAGAGAGATTTACATTTAGGGGAAAAAAGAAAAAACCTCAAAATGCATCACATTGATTTTTGTTTCTCATTTAGTATACAATTAAAGAGGCATCGACAAGTTAGTGGGGCAAAATTACTCAACATATTATGCCAGGGCAACTGTTAGCTTTCTTAAAGCAAAAAAAATAGAAATATATATCCTCTCTTAACATTATTAACCAAAATGAATTCCAAGTGGATCAAATATTTCATTTAAAAAATTTAGATGTGAAAAAAATATGAAAATAGAATTGAATTTTTTTTGACCTCTGGATGGGGAAACAATTTAAGCAGACTCCCAGAGACTATACAGCAAAATATCAAGAGTTGAGAACAGAAATTTGTTACATTTCTATACAATGAAAATAAAAGGCAAAACAACAAATAAAGATCAGAAATAAATATGAAAAAGGGTACTTCCTTAATCATTAGATCAATTAAAAAATATAAGATCTTTGCAAGAATCAAGATAGTTGACAATGCTTAGCACTTACTGGGCATTCAATAAATAACAGTAGTCATAACAACAAAAGTAAGATTAAATGGATAAATGCCCCAAGAAAATAATTCATGAAAACAGAAATACGAATGTCATAAATATGTGAAAAAAAATCACCAATATTCAAAGATACAAAAATTAAAGCAATAATGAGGTCACTAAAAAAATTTTGGCTTATTTGACAGATGGCAGAGGTTCTATTTGCACAAGACAGGAGATTGGCTTCAGGACTGTGGGCAAAAGTGCATACTGGCACATAATTTTCTGAGAAGGCAACTTGGCAGAAAATTTATAGAAGCCATACATATATTCTTTAATCCCACAACTTTCCTCCAATTTAGAGTTAACCAAAGTTAACTTTTTTAACATCTGCAAAATATGTATCAGAAAAGAGTAGGTTAAATACATTAACTATGCCACCTTTGCTAAAGTAACAACTTCCAACCTGTGATACCTTTTCTTTTCTCAAATATCACTCTGTGGGTAAAAAACGCTAATGTTACACAGTGACAAAAGCATGATCCTTGGTTACCAGAGTTTTCTGCCTCTATTTCCTCTTTGAATTTCATGCCTCTGTGGCAAGTAAAAGGACAAAAACTGGTCCCCAAAATAAGAGACTAGGTGAGGAGACAATGTTGTTTTGAAACTTAATAAGGATGGAGATTAAGGCAACCAGAAAGTGGTCTGATGTGCAAAACAGAAAGGCTAGAATGTTTATTATAGGTATGGCTGTAAGATCATACATACCAAGTAACACAAAATTACAGTCTCCTTGAAAATGGCAGATAAAGCTTGGTTTGTTTTAACTTAAACTCTGGTACTCCTCCCTTTCCTGATAGTGTCTGTTGTTGCTGTTTAGATCCTAAGTTCGGTCCAACTCTTTTGGGACCCCATAGACTGTAGCCCCCCAGGCTTCTCTGTGCATGGAATTTCCCAGGCAAGAATACTGGAGTGGGTTGCCATTTCCTTTTCCAGGGGATTTTCTCAACCCAGGGATCGAATCCACATATCCTGCATTGCAGGCAGATCCTTTACTGCTGAGCCACCAGGGAAGCCTCCCTGCCAGTGACCACTGTTAAAATCTGGTGGGCAACCTATTGCATAGTTCCCAGGCACAAGCAGAAGGGTCATATGATCCCCATTTTACAGAAGGGAAAACAAGTTAAGCAACTGGCCTCAGATCACAAGACAAGTCTGTGGCCAGTTCGAATTCTCAGTTCTTGATTCAGATCAGGAGTCATTTTGCTTGAAGAAAAGACTGAAAATCAACTTGCAAGTCATCATATTAAACACGAATAGGTTTCTGTCAAAAAGGACTGCAATGAGGGAAGATATTATCTTGTCTTTTCTGATTAGGTACAAGGAGAAAGTCTTACTCTCAATAAAGTGTCCCATTCGTGGTATTATTTTTTAGTCTTCTGGACAGAGCACTTCAGCTTAAAACAACAATAACAACTTTATAATCGCATTTTGCAGCCAATCACGGCAGGAACAGGGAGGTGGCCCTTAGATAGTAGAAACCTCATTGATCATCAGCTTCTCCAAACCTTACATCTTGCAAAACTGCTTCTAACTACGCGCAGGGAAGAAAGGAAGTATCAGAATACCCAGAGTCAGAAAAAAGTAGAAAAAGAACTCTGAATTAAAAAACTGAGTGAGTTTCAAAAGCAACATAATTCCACAAGGTATAAACAGGGGGAAAGGAATATGGTTTAAAAAGCACAAACCCACTAACTGATTCTCATCCCTGGAGGAGAGAAGGAAGCACCGGCCGCTGAAGCATCTTTTGCCCGAACCTACCCGAGCTCAAGCCCAAAAGCAGCAGTAGCAGCGGCAAGGGACAGCTTCGTGGCGCCAGCTCCATGATGAATACCTCGCGGCAGCATCAGCTACCGGCTAGTCTCTGCTCCTCACCACGTGACTATGGCGGGCGGAGCAAAACCAGGCCGGGCCGGGGCGGGGCGGGGATTTGGGTGGGCGGGGCTAGAGAGGCTTGGGCGGGGCTTGGGGAGAAGCTAGTGCCGGCCGAGCCGCTCGCAGCAACCCGGGCGCCCTCTGCAGATCGGTCCCAGCGGCATCCCTGCAGCCGCGTCCGGGGTGTTCCTTTTCGCTCCGCTACGCCTCTTTCCGTTTTGGGGACAGGCAGAAAGGAAGAGGCGCTTAAAGCATTGATTTGACTTGGATTGTACGACAGGATTGAGACGCTACAGAGAAATAACCAGAGGACCGTTCTTCCTGCCCCGCCCATCTCCCTTCCCCAACAAAAGGCCTGGCCTTTCAAACGGCTGCATCTACACCAAATCAGACTAAGAATGGTCAGATGGTCATTGGAAGCTGTGGGCTTCCGTTTTCACAGATTTGTTCTTAAAATTATTTTTCCTTTAAAATTACGTATATTATGGACATATTGGAAATTCGGAGAAAATTTAGACATTATGTAAACATTGTTAGCATTTGAGATTTTCCCCCCTCTAGTGCTTTACGTCATCTTTTAAAATACAATAGTAAATGTTTTTGTTTTTTTTCTCGGTAATTTGTCATCAGCTTAATTCTGTGTTGTTAACATGACAACAGTCATTTCAAACAGGCAATTAGTATTTTGGGAAGGGATTAGAGGAAGGGGAAGGGAAAAAAGGATGCGAGTGTGTGTGTGTAGGTCATTTTTATTTTAGGGTGTACTAAATAACTCCCCTTATAGCTAGGAAACAAAACTGTGCAGGGCTGTATGAGGGTCAGGTTACTTCTAAATCAGTTCAGTTCAGTCGCTCAGTCCTGTCCAACTCTTTGTGACCCCATGGACTGCAGCAGGCTTCCCTGTCCATCACCAACTCCCGGAGCTTGCTCAAACTCATGTCCATAGAGTCAGTGATGCCATCCAACCATCTCATCCTCTGTCATCCCTTTCTCCTGCCTTCAATCTTTCCCAGCATCAGGGTCTTTTCCAATGAGTCAGTACTTCGCATCAAGTCGCCAAAGTATTGGAGTTTCAGCTTCAGCATCAGTCCTTCCAATGAATATTCAGGACTGATTTCCTTTAGTATGGACTAGTTGGATCTCCTTGCAGACCAAGGTACTCTCAAGAGTCTTCTCCAACACCACAGTTCAAAAGCATCAATTCCTCAGCACTCAGCTTTCTTCACAGTCCAACTCTCACATCCATACATTACCACTGGAAAAACCATAGCTTTGACTAGACGGACCTTTGCTGGCAAAGTAATGTCTCTGCTTTTTAATATGCTGTCTAGGGTTGGTCATAACTTTTCCTCCAGGGAGTAAGCGTTTCTTAATTTCATGGCTGCAATCGCCGTCTGCAGTGATTTTGGAGCCCAGAAAAATAAAATCTGTCACTGTTTCCATTGTTTCCCCATCTATTTGCCATGAAGTTATGGAACCGGATGCCATGATCTTAGTTTTCTGAATGTTGTTTTAAGCCAAATTTTTCACTCTCCTCTTTTACTTTCATCAAGAGGCTCTTTAGTGCTTCTTTGCTTTCTGCCATAAGGGGTGGTGTCATCTGCATATCTGAGGTTATTGATATTTGTCCCTGCAATCAAATAATGGAAACAGTCACAGACTTTATTTTTGGGGGCTCCAAAATCACTGCAGAGGGTGACTGCAGTCATAAAATTAAAATACGCTTGCTCCTTGGAAGAAAAGCGATGACCAACCTAGACAGCATATTAAAAAGCAGAGACATTACTTTGCCAACAAAGGTCCATCTAGTCAAAGCTATGGTTTTTTCAGAAGTCATGTATGGATGTGAGAGTTGGACCATAAAGAAAGGTGAGCGCCGAAGAGTTGATGCTTTTGAACTGTGGTGTTGGAGAAGACTCTTGAGAGTCCCTTGGATTGCAAGGAGATCAAACCAGTCAATCCTAAAGGAAATCAGTCCTGAATATTCATTGTAAGGACTGATGCTGAAGCTGAAGCTCCAGTACTTTGGCCACCTGATTCAAAGAACTGACTCATTGGAAAAGACCCTGATGCTGGGAAAAATTGAAGGTGGGAGGAGAAGGAGATGACAGAGGATGAGATGATTGGATGGTATCACTGACTCAAAGGAAGTGAGTTTGAGTAAGCTCTGGGAGTTGGTGATGGAGAGGGAGGCCTGGTGTACTGCAGTCCATGGGGTTGCAAAAGAGTCAGACATGACTGAGTGACTGGACTGACTGCTCATCATAATCGTTTTAAAATAAGCTTTTGTGCAGTTATTTATTTTAATTTTCTTTTCCTCACTAATCTGTGGACTCCATGAGACTGGGGATCAGGCTGTACTAGGTGGTTGGCCAAATAGGCTCATGAGGTCGTATTTGAGAGTACCCTGTGAGAGCCACGTGGGCCTGTTGAAACTACTCTGCCATGATGTCAGGGAGGCAAACAGCATTTTTCCTTTTTCCAAGTTTAGGATAAATTATACCTTTACTCTATGCAGGGCCTCAGAGGCCACAGCATATTCAGGGAACTACAGTCTGGGCCTACCTGGTGGCTCAGATGGTAAAGTATCCGCCTGCAATGTGGGAGACCTGGGTTTGATCCCTGGGTTGGGAAGATCCCCTGGAGGAGGGCATGCAACCCACTCCAGTATTCTCACCTGGAGAATCCCATGGACATAGGAGCCTCGCATGCTACAGTCTATGGAGTTGAAAAGAGTCGGACACAAATGAGCGACTCAGCACACACCAACACACACAGTCATAGGGGGACTGTTGGAGAATAAAGTTCAAGGGGACTTGGGTAGGTCTGGATCAGAAGGTGGGATCCTGACTACTGCTGCTGTTGTTTAGCCCTCGTGGCTCCTCTGTCCCTGGGACTTTGCAGGCAATAAATAATACTGGAGTGGCTTGCTATTTCCTTCTCCAGAGGATCTTCCCAACCCAGGGATCAAACCTGCATGTCCTGCATTGACAGTCGTTGGCAGGTGAATTCTTTACCACTGAGCCACCCGGGAAGCCCCTGACGAGTTACCAATTCACTGCTGGCGGTGTGAAGTCTGGAAAGAGGTGTGGGCAGGCAGTCTCATTGCCAGATCTGTGTGGCAGGCAATTCTGTTGCATAATTGCAACAAAAGTGTCATTTCTCTTCTTCAGGGCTAATTTCCTGAAGGAATAGGGCTGAAGGGTACAGCAAGTGATTTCAAAAATTCAAACAGGATTGTAGTAGGCAGGGAATCATAACAAAGCCCACAAGTCAAGGAAGAGGGAAGATATAAACAGCATGACAAAGCTGAGTGAGGACAGGAAAATACAGGAGAAGAATTGGACTAGAAATAATTCTTAGGAGTGAGGAAAACCCAGAGAAGCCAAAGCTATTTTTCATGCTCCCTATTTTCAGCTTCAGTTTCTAAGTTTAATTCCTGTAAGTGCTACAACAGGGATCCAACTCTATATGTGCGGTGTATCAGAATGCAGCTAGTTTCTCAAATTTCCAAATTCTTATAAAAATAAATTAGGAGCCGGAGACAAATGAGCTCGCTTAAATCCATCTATACTTGTCAGCCAGGACAGGGCCTTATATAAGGAAGCCCCACCACTGGCAGCAGCAATGAGGCCTCCCTGCCACTCCCACCTTTGGGTGTTAAGAGAACCCAAGTAAGGAACTTGGACTTCAGTCGCCACCTGGCAGTACCTCCCCTCCGCCACCAGAGCAGTGTCAGAAAAAGCCAGCAGGATAAGATCTGGAATGTCAGACCATAATGTGAAAATGTTCAGATTCCAGCTTCTTCAAATTCACACCCAGAACCAGGAAGACATCAGACTGAAAAAGACAATTAATAGATGCTGACACTGAAATAAGGAAGATGTTAGAATTATCTGACCAGTGTTTTAAAGCAGACAGGATTATCATGTTTGGAATGAATGAAAGGATAGAAAGACTCAGCAGGGAAATAGAAAGTCCCAGCAAAGGAATAAAAGATGCAAAGAAAAACCAAAAGGAAATTTTCTTGTGTTTATTTTTGTTTCTTTTAAAAAAATTTTTACTGAAGTATAATTGATTTACAATATTGTGCCAATCTCTGCTGTTCAGCAAAGTGACTCAGTTATACACATATAGACATTATTTTAAAATATTCTTTTCCACTATGGTTTATCCCAGGATACTGAATATAGTTTCCTGGAGGACCTCCTATACAGTAGGACCTTGTTGTTTATCCATTCTATATGTAATAGTTTACATCTAATCCCAAACTAATCCCAAACTCCCAGTTCTTCCCTTCCCCAGCACCCTCCTGCCTTAGCAACCAGAAATCTATGTCTGTGAGTCTGTTTATGTTTCAATTTTTTAATTAACTAATTAATTTTGGCTGCACTGGATCTTCATTGCTGAGAGAGGACTTTTTCTAGTTGCAGTGGATAGGGGCGACTCTCTAGCTGTGATATGCTGGCTTCTCACTGTGATGACCTCTCTTGTTGCAGAGCACAGGCTTTAGAGAGTAGGCTCAGAAATTGTGGCACGTGGGCTGAGTTGCCCTGTGGCATGTGGAATCTTCCTAGACTAGGGATCAAACCCATGCCCCCTGCATTAGCAGGCAGATTCTTACCACCAGACTACCAGGGAAGTCCTATGTCTTATTTTAGTTTCCACATATAAGTGATATCATATGGTGTTTGCCTTTCTCTTTCTGACTTCCTTCGCTTAGTATGATAATCTCTAGATCCACCCTTGTCGCCACAAATGGCACTATTTCATTCTTTTTCATGACTGAGTAATACACTGTTATATATAGGACACAGCCTCTTTATCCCTTCCTCTGTCGATGGACATTTAGGATATTTCCATGTCTTAGCTGTCATGAACTTAGGGGTGCATGTGTATTTTTGAATTTAAGTTTTGTCTGGGTATACACCCAGGAATGGGATTTCTTGA